CCTATCTTGCCTGCAGCCCTATATCTGGTAGGTTGGGGTCAGAGCACGCCTCCTGGCTCAGGCCCCATTAAAAAAACAGGCTCAGGAGGTGATGCCACCCCTTTTATAACTTTTAGCGTAGAAACATAGGAGAGCCATCTTCAATTCCCACCTCTGTCTGAGGGGGGCAAAAGGAGTTGAACAGAGGGCACTTGCCTGCCTAACCACAGGACTATGGGATAGTGTACTCTGGGGCTCCCTCACTCGCTACTGTTTCACATTGGATAAATACTTAAATAGTCATTTAAAACTGAGCATGAGAAAGCCTCTACAGGCTGGGAGGTAGGGCCCAGTTCCCTTGCAGATGGGGGACTTGAACCTGGGTCTCCCACATCCTGGGTGAGTGTTCTTACCCATGGATTAAAAGCTATAAGGGAGGTAGTACCACCTCTTCTGGCATTTCTTGCAGGAATGGCTTAGATGCCTAAACCACTTGACTCCAGAAGACAGTTCCTGGATGTGGCTCACAAGCAGAGCCAGGTGCCTTCCCTGCAGCTCAGATTTTAGGTGGTTAACTGCATGAGAGGGATAAGGTTTAGGATATACCTCATTTATCAGCATCTTGTATTGGCTAGCTTAGGTGGCTCCCCACCTAGCAAACTGGTCTTTTTTTTTTTTTTGTCAGGGATCCCATTCCTAGGCCACCTGTCTCTCCCCGTGCATTGTACAGGGAGCCTAGGCACCTTTGTGGAGCCCAGTGTTATTCCACTGATTTTTCTCAGTGTCTAATAGTTAGGCATTGCAATGCCTATGACTCCGTGCTTCCAGGTCACAGATTAACATGGTGCTCTACAAACCTAGGGCTAATCTCCACTAGAAGAGCAACATAAGTGCACTGATGCAGCTACGTTGCTGTAGCATGGCTGGTGAAGACACTCCATGCAGACAGGCGAGAGCTCTCCTTCAGCATAATTATTTCACGTCCGTAGGAGAGCGTCTCCTGAGGACATAGCGCCGTCCACAGCCGGGCATAAATTGGTGCAACTTGTATTGCTTGGTGGGGAGGGGGAGAGGGATTGACTTTTTCACATCCTAAGCAATGTAAGTTATATCAACATAAGTTGTAATGGAGACCTGCCCCTAAGCCTATGCTGAGAACTGGCTAGGCCAGTCCCTGCACTCAGGCAGCTCTCAATACAAACCTAGAAACCCTGGATATTGCCATCTCCTAACACTTTATAATCTAAATCTGATGCAAGAGGTTGTAGGAATTAACATTGGAAAGAAGGGAGCAGGGATGGATACAGCAGCTTGGTTTGGAGGGATGGGTATTTGCTTCAACGGCAGCATGATGGGTAACACAAAACAGTGAGGCACATTAGACAAAGCTAATTGTAAAGTGCTGGGATATTTAGATTTAATACTATGTTGCAATTTATACCTATCTTGTGTGTCTTAATCCTTACCTCCTCCATCCCTCTCAGTCTCACTTCCCATACAACCAACATTACTGCCCCATCTCTTATTTTCCACCTCTTGCCCCACTATCTAGTTTGCCTTACTCTCACAGGCCTCAGCTTGGGCCAAGGGCTTTCTCCTGTATGTACATGGAAATACACAATATCCTCCCATTGTTTTTGGTTTCTTCATATCTATCTGGGGAAAGGAGGCCCTAATGCACACACATTCCCAAGCCACTGCCTTTTGTCCTCCATTGAGAAACTTCCAGGGTGTTAAGGTACGGACCACCCCGCCCCCATACAATGTAAAGTGAACACCCATTATTACCTACAATCCAGGGCTGATGCCTTGTCTACCGGTTCATTCTGCAAAGCTAGTGCTGTTCAGAGGCAGTTCTTGATCCATACTGAAAAATGGCATATCCCATACAAAAACCCAGAAATGTGAGCGTAGGTATCATTGTTCCTTTTGAGTTCTTTACATAGTTTGTACACACAAATTGTCATAAAAGTAGCATCGGTGATTAAAAACAATCTCTGAGACTAACACTTAAAATTGCATATAGTGAAGGGGTTTTTTAATATGTGGTTAATGGCTCTGTATATTCAAGGGCTGTAATCCATTTTACCTGTTCCCTATTGATTCTCTAATTAGCAGAATTTAGACTCAATAAAGTAATTTACAAATGAATTGAATCAGATCAGATGTGATTAGTTTCTGCCAGTATTATAATAAATGTCTGCATAATTTTAGCTGATTGTGTGTCTGGTACTAACACAAATTATCCTTATTTTTGAGATGGAGGGAACCTAGCAGCACATTAAGAAAACGGATCAAAACACTGAATAGCTAAAATCAAGTAATCAACATGCATCTCTGAGCATTACACAGGCTAGGTCTACACTGCCCGCCTGAATCGTCCGGTAGAAATCGATCTCTCAGGGATCGAATTATCACGTCTCGTCGGGACGTGACAATCGATCCCCAAATCGATGCTCTTACTCCACCAGGGGAGGTGGGAGTAAGCGCCATCGACGGGGAGCTGCGGAGGTCAATTTTGCCGCCGTCCTCACAGCGGGGTAAGTCTGCTCCGATAGGTCGAATTCAGCTACGCTATTCGCGTAGCTGAATTTGCGTATATTAAATCAACCTCCCCCCCCCCCCGTAGTGAAGACCTGCCCCTAGATTAGTTGCAGCGTTGTTGTAGCCATCTTAGTCCCAAGATATTAGAGAGACAAGATCAGTGAGGTAATATCTTCAACTTTGGTTGGTGAAAGAAGATTTCAGGCTACTCAGAGCTCTTCAAGAGCTCGTCTGGCTCACCAACAGAAGTTGGGTTGATATAGTAGTTCTCAACCTTTCCAGACTACTGTACCCCTTTCAGGAATCAGATTAGTCTTGCATACCCCAACTTTCAACTCACTTAAACTACATGCTTACAAAACCAGACATAATACAAAAGTGACATAGCACACTGTTACTGAAGAATTGCTTACTGTCTCATTTTGTCTGTATGAAATTTCAGTTTGTACTGACTTCACTAGTGCTCTTTATGGAGCCTGTTGTAAAACTAAGCAAATATCTAGATGAGTTGATGTACCCCCAGAAGACCTCTGTGTACACGCCTGGTTGGGAACTACTGCAATAGAAGATATTGCCTCACCCACCTTGTCTCATTACATAGATGCCATTTTTTAATAGTCAGAAGTCTGGTGAAAGGGAAGGAAGTGCTATTTCTGAGTTGAGACATGAATACCTACCAAAATCATCCCGACACAGGAAAACAGTTACAAAATGCATTTATGAAGACAGACGAGTAGCAGGCTGGATCACACGATTGGAAACTGGTGAGTATCCAGGAGTTGTGGCAAAAGATTTCTATAAGCCTGTCTACTGATGGAACTCCCACTGTTGCAAATCTCAATGATTAGTCTGGTAGTTTGAAAGTGGCTTTTTTTTTTTAAAAAAAAACTCAGCAGGAAGGTTACAACATTTCCAGGCCTCAGAAGCCATGAATAAATATGCAATACACAATCAACAACATATGCCCATTTAAATAACGGGCTCTATTTACCAAAAAGATCATTGCTCTCTTGTACAATGAGATGAACTAAGGTGCTCAAGCTAAAAAGTTTAACCACAAAGGGGCCATAGCCAGTGTGTTTTCAGGGACATGGCCTTGTTCTTGGAACTTACTTTCTCTCTTGCTCCACAAGAACCACAATCTGTTGAGAGTCTACACAGTGCAAGGCTTAATTTATCTTACCAAGCTTTTTGGGAAGTGGGACAGGGAAGATATTCTTATTACAGAAGCACCCAAAGGCCTCCACTCAGAAACTATTGCATCAGGTGCTGAATGTACAGTTAAGACACTGGAATAGGACTAAATCTTGGGTTCTCTGCCTGTGGGGCCTATGGAAAGTCACTGTGCCTTAGTTTCTCTATTTGTAAAATGGAGATAATGTTTCTCTCAATGTTATGAAGATAAATCAGCATAGGTTTGGGAGATCTCATGGTGACAAGTGCTACAAAAAAGCCCATGCTTAATATTTAATCCTATGAATAAACAATAGCATCCAAGACACCACACATTTTGAAAAATCCAAGTAAGTGCAAAGGAAAAACAGTGGCTATTTTCAGTTTAATTAAGCTTTGGTACAAGTTAAACTGCTGATGTCTTATTTATGACCCTCTACAAATCTAGCAGTGGTAAATCATGCACATTTGCAACTATACTCTAGTGATGCACCTGTTGTCCTGCTGTACACAGTAGTGACACATGTACATTTAAAGTCTCCTCCATCTATAGCTCTTCTAAATGGGGCATCTGCCACCTATTAAATGTTACTTTTCAGCCCTAGTGAGTAGTACCAGAAGATGGATATTCACTTTTTTTAAATGCATCAAATATAACCAAGCTTGGTGGGGGTGGGGGCTTGGTGCAACATATTTTTAGCCTTGCATCTAATATATTATGTTTTCATGACTGTTTAGTAAATCAGTTTCACAGAATACCATGAACTTATGTAAAAGTTAGAGTAGTTAGAGTAGTACATTTTGTAAATGTCAACATCCATATACAGTTAATCGTGGATTTTCTACATCTTTCAAAGGTTCTCCTGATTTGGGAGACATTGCATAGCTGCAGGATAGGAAACACTGATGGAATTGATAAATCTTTCTAAAAACAGAAGCAGCAAAAGGAGACCACTGGATTTACAATTTGCCAAATGTCTCCACACAGTGCAGGGGAAGAGTACATAAGTGAGATGCTAAGTGGATGTTTCCGGAGATCCGCTGCCACACACTATCCACTCATTTAAATTGGCCTGTTTTGCCATTACTGGTTATAAATTTCACTACACTTGCTAATTTATTTGCCTCTTATAAATTAACTGTGTAAGTGAGCATGGAGGTTGTGTACAGCACAGTCTTGTACAGCAAATGACTAGCAGAAAATAAACACAGGGCTTTGGTTAAGGGTTACCAGTGACTATAACTGCATGTGCACAAGTTTTTCTGTCAAGCCACCAGGGGTCACTAATACCACATTACAAACATTCCACAGCATGGTATGTAACTTTATTCTTCTATCATAATAATTTAAAGTATTTACACACTGCACAGTCACTCTTTTACACAAACATATACTTACTGGTATATCCATGAACCACATCAAGAAGGTTTTGCAAAGACTGACACATTGTGGGGTTTCCAAGCATAAAAATAAAATTTGAAGCCTTCTAAAAAAGACAGCCATTTGGAGTGTCTGTGAAAACCAGTGTTCCCTCTAAGCGTAAGCTCTCCCCAGAGACCATTCACTAAGCTTCAAAATATCCAGATGTTTGGCATTAAATAAAACTCTTTTGGCTAGTGTGGACTTCAAGAACCAACATGTGCAAATAACATTTTCTCAAGAAATCCCACAGCAGGAACAAGAAAACGCTTTGAAGGAAGCACAACATTTCTGAAATTTTACTTGTCTATGGGGCTCACAATTTGCTACTAGTATATATACACGTGTGTGTGTGTGTGTATACACACACACACACGTATTTGTGGGACTGGGGGACAGGAAACTAGCTACTAGATCTGCATCATTTACTATGTACTTGTACTGGGGCAGCAACTCTAGGCTCAGCCACTACAATTCTTTCACAATACTTTTAAACTCAGTGCACTAATGGGGAAATTCAGCCACCCAAAATACAAGGGTTCCCCCCCACGTTAGAGCAGCAAAACAGGAAAGCTCCCTTCCTCTACCCCATTTGACAGTAGGCCAGAAACCACATTACCTAGAGCATTTGGAAAACCATTTCCAGCTAACTCAGTTTAAACAGTGTGGCCAGGCAGAAGGGATGGGGCAAACTATCTGAACACATTAGAATGTGTTCTTGTCTAGTACATCGTTCTGCCTTCCACACTGGCTAGCCAAACCAAGCTAGCTTAATTGGTTTTCAAAACAGCATTCCCAGCCCAATGTAAGTGGCATGTAAATCTTCCACCAATTCCAGTGTCAAGTTAAGTCTCTCTGCCAACAGAGAGTCCCAGCAATTGCTAAAAGGAGACCATCCCTAATCTGTCTAGCCCTTCATCATTCCATGCAAAAAGAGGAGAGATTTAACTTTCACGTATCACCTCTCACACTACCCAACAAGCATTGAGTAAAATTTACTTACTGAACTTTAGAGTAATGAAAGCAAGACTATTCCAGTCTGTTATTCTTGTATACACAGCACCCTCCGAAAACCCCAATCACCCCCCACCAACCTGCAGCAGCAAGTTTCAGTGCCTAGGTCTATAGACAGGGGCTCACTTACGGAACTAAAAATAGCCACAAACATTCAGGCTTAGGTCTGGAGCTCAGGCTCTGAAGCCTGGAGGTGAGTGGGTTTCAGAACACTACGGTTTTAAGCGCCACAGAGTGAGCCCCCAAGCCCGTAGACCTGGGCTCTGAGACTCATTGCCACAGGCTTTAAAATGCAGTGTAGACATACCCTTGGAATGTTAGAGACTCACTAATCTACACTAAACTGTTTCCAAGAGAAAAACAGAATACAAACACACACTTAGACCAATTAGCAATCATGAGAGTGGGGGGCAGGGGCTGTGTGTGTGGCACATGTGGGTATTTTTACTGTTGAAAATCTTTACTATGTAAGATGTTACCTCTTTCTTGCAATAATTTAAGGCACTAGATTGATTCAGTGACCCAGTGGTTGAACTTTATCCCTACCATGCATGAGGACTCTGTTGAAATAACCCTCTCCCTATATTCTAACACATTTGGTAGAAGCACTGCTTATGGAAGGGAATTTCTTAGGTCACTTAGCACCCCTCCAGCTATCAGTCCCAAAAGAAGATGGACAGCTGTGACAGGGACTGTTAAGGAAAAGTGTGTTTATGTAGGGTGCACGGGTAGGGAAAAATCTCCCAGCATGCCCCTTGATATCCTAGTGATACAACCTAGGCAATTAAAAAAAATCTCAGGTGCTCTCCTTGAGCCTAGGCAACCAAATGATCCCTCAATTTCAACTCATTCACAGAATAAAACTAGCAGTCTTGAGGGAAAGGCAATATTCAATGTCATGCTATGCAATTAAAACATGTCAAGTGAGCTAGAGAAACACCCAAGACTGTTCTACATACAGCACGTTGCTGTATAAATCATAAGCAGACTCAGTCTGAATGATTCACTTAGAGAGAATAGCAAGTTAGTGCTGTATTCACAGTAGAATGCCTGGTGGTCTTGGGAGGAAATTAAGGATCGAAAGAAGAGGAACACAGAAAAAGTACTTACATATAAAAGTTTTTTTAAACTATGTAATACTTAGAGGGAGCACTGGGGGTGGTGTATGTACATGTGTATTATACATATTACCCAGCTACACACATAAATATTTCATATATAAAAAATAAAGTGCTTTCTATGAGGTCCCAATGCAGGGACATTATAAAACATTTCACCAACTGCAAAACAAATTGATACAATCAAAGAATACTACATCCGACATACATGTAAAACAAACACAATATGTACAATCTGGCGGGTGTCCCAAGACAAACATCCCTTCATATACATGGTATATACATATATACTCTTAGCTTTACTCAATATATTATGACAATATATATTTTAAAACTTTGTTATAGACAAAAAACCCTACAAAAACGCAACAAGGATTAAGCACACAAGTCCAAGACTAACGGACAATTTGCTATTTTTGCCCATATCACCATTTCCACTGTTGGGGAAGATGTGCCAGCGCTCTTTCCTGGGGTGCAGCGCCTCTACGTCCTGCAAGGCACTATGAGCTGCTGCCGTGAAGTTAGCATCACCAGTGGTGAGCAGATCAAACACACAAGAGTAAAAATAGATGTCCTTCACCAGCATCTTCTCATGGCATTTGGTAGTGGCACTCTCCAGTGTGTACACAGACCGGGGCTGAGTAGAGGCAGCATGTGGAAGAAGCTGCCCCATAACGGGCAAAGGTAAGTGACCACTATCATCAATGCGTTCACTCGAGGGGCAGCCATTCACACACAGCTGGAGGTCCTGGCTTTCTTCATAAGCCATGGCCAGCTCTTCTGGCATGCGAATGGCCAGCGTTAGGTAATGTCCGACTTGGCGCACAAACACAGTGGCCCCGATGTACCTGGCGTGCATCTCCACGTATCTGCCACTGACTCTCTCCACTATGCGCAAGCTCTTGGTGTCACTGTCACCTCCACTTGTTGTGCCATCTACAAAAGCCGCCGGTAGGTCATCAGTCACTGCCTGGTACACCTTCTGCTCTGTGCAGTCTTGGTATGATTTAAAGATAATAGTTATCTGGAAGAAAACAAGGGAAATTAGAGGGGAAATTCATCTCAAAATCATTATCACCACTGTAGATTGAGAATGATCAAGGGCTGAATAGCTGCCCACCAAGCCCATCGTTCATTCCTACAGAAAATTATCTCTAACCGTGCACCTATTCCCAAAACTCTAATACATAGTCTAGCAGAGGGCGACTTAAATGGAGTTCTTACATTAGTGGGAAACCCACAATAGTGGAAGACAGCAACTGGAAAAAGAGGCCAAAAAGGGAACAGGCTGTATATATAACAGAGCCACAACTCCCTCTCCTAATGCTCCCTTAACACTTTGGAATGCAATCTCATGGAGCTGTATGTGCCAAATAATTCCCATGCCACTATCTTCTGTGGCACAACCAGTTTCTCTCCATGGAGAGAGCAGTGTGCTCTAATGCAATCAGCAACCAGAGTGCAAGGGGTGCCACTGACTACATGAACATGGAGAAAATATTCACTGTACCCCCTCTAATATATAGCTAATCCTTGAACAACCTGAAAATGCTGTAGAAAAAGCACACTATTATTTCAGCCATCAATTCAATACGCAATCAGTGACTAGCTGCGCCTGCTCTCTTCTGTAATTATTTGACAATCTGCATTTTGTTATTCAGTGTTTGGACTTAGCCTTTATAAACTGAGAGATTTGACACCTCCAGTCCACTAGCAGCTACAGAACATATGTATTACAGGCAGAAGGGGAATAAAACAGGTGGCTTATAAGAAAATGCACTACTCTGAACAAGATAATAAAAGTGCAGAGCAAACTTTGCTTTAAGAGAGGGATCGGCAACCTTTGGCCCGTGGCCTGCCAGGGTAAGCCCCCTGGCAGGCCGGGCCGGTTTGTTTACCTGCCGCATCCACAGGTTCGGTTGATCACGGCTCCCACTGGCCGCAGTTCACCGCTCCAGGCCAATGGGGGCTGCAGGAAGCGGCGGCCAGCACATCCCTCGGCCCGCACCACTTCCCGCAGCCCCCATTGGCCTGGGACAGCGAACTGCAATTGGCTGAACCTGCGGATGCGGCAGGTAAACAAACCGGCCCAGCCGCCCGGGGCTTACCCTGGTGGGATGCGGGCCAAAGGTTGCCGATCCCTGCTTTAAGAGGTGGCTTGCACTGGAAGTTTGTACCTTTTTATGATGCTAACGAATGGCCTCTTAAATCTTAAATGTTTGTTATTTAAAGTCCACATGCAATAGAAATCAGATTCTCCAGTCTTCACAGGGGAAGCAAGCAGGTTATATTGTTACATTATTTGTTAGGGTTCCTAGAGCTCTGTAGAGGTATCTTATTTTTATTTAAACAAATGGCATGTCTGCAGCTTCCTTCCAACAGTGAAGAGGAGAGGAAATACTGACTTGAACAAGCTAGGGTTTTTAAAAAATATTAAAATACTGCTTATTTCTGTATCTGTATGTTCACACTTGACAAACTATATACACATCATAAAACAAGAGAAAAATGACAAACTGCAAAGCAATTTTAAGTACATTGCCAAGAGATTTAAAGTACTCCAAAATGTGTTCGTGAACATTTCCAGCCCTATGAATGTCTTCAGTTTCTAGCAGCCCTTGAATGTTTTAGTTTCAGTTAGCCACCACACTAGGGCACAGCAGCTTTTGTTTCTTACCTCTCAGCTTTGAAATACAAGAGTTAAGGCTCAAACAGCTGGATTACAGGGAATCGGAACACCATCTCTCCCTTCTAGGAGGAGGAAGATTAAACATTAACTTTGCGCCCTTCTTGCTATTAGTAAATGAAAGTGATGATTTCCCTTACTATCACCTCCTCTCCTCTGTCCAAACCCTCTTCAAACACATCCAAAGAAGTGAGGTTTTTACCCACGAAAGCTTATGCCCAAATAAATCTGTTAGTCTTTAAGGTGCCACCAGACTCCTTGTTGTTTCTTCAAACACACAATACTTAGTTTTAATGTTTCATCTGCCCCAGTTAGTTAGCATTACATTCTCACACATACAGACAGAGCACTCACTATTTTAGTTCCACATGTTCCCACTGGTACGGTCTGATTGGAATTTTCCAACGATTTTTCTTTGCTTTAATCAAGTTATACAGCAAGCTTGGGACCAGCTGTAGTCAAGCAATCTGTGAAATTCATATGCCTGAGCCACAGCTGAGATATAAGGATTTTGTTCAAAATCCAGACAATATACCAATTACTTACCCCCCTTAGACAGTCACTGCTTTTGTCTAGTGTAGTGAGCCCACCATTCCACTTTACTTCCAATCTTTTATGTTTAGTTCAGTCCAGCAGCCCAGAAGGAAGCTATCCTGCACATTGTCTCATGAGTAATTTGCAGTGCCTCTGATCCCTGTGCCTCAATAAATGAAGCTTCCACAAAGCTGCTTTAACACAGGACTGCAAAACAGATTAATTAATGGCGCTGGACACAAATGGCACAGCAATGGTAGTGTTCTTTAGGCCCATTCGTGACACTCTGCAAGAAAAGAATGATTTATCTCCCAGCTGAAGGAAAATTCTGTGCAAGACTGCTCAGCACCTGAGTCTGAGGTTAACAGATCAGATGGCTTTAATGACACCACACAGAACCTGCTTTTCCATATAACCACCCACACTAATTCCCAATCAATAGGCTCCATGACTGACTTAATGCTTCTCTAAGCGCTGAGTAATTTGTCTCTAGTTTCTCAAACCGAAATTTCAATCAGTTGGTCCTGCTTGTGCAGAGGGACACTTTCACTGCTTGAAGACCATGAGGAAATCTGGATATGACAGAAGGAAACAAACATTTTTACTCTGCTTCTGGCAAGCTACAACAGAAATAAGAAACAGTCACCAACTGCTCTCACTAGGACTCTGCTTTCTTCATCGGGGTAAATCTCATGCATAGGGAGAGAAAGGCCTCCACCCCACTGCAGCCCTGCAATGGTTTTGCCCAAGGAGCACAAGCTGAAAAGCTATGAAAGGGCAGGGTATGTACTCTGTGAGGTCTCCACAATGTCCCCAAATTGGCTAGCAAAGAGAAGACCACTGGAATGTGCCAGGCTTCACACTTAGGGATACAGTGGGCTAGAAGCAGTGTTTAATTTGTGCCAGCGCTTGCCACGGCTAAGCTCCGGCATCTCTAGGCTTGGCAGTCCATAGCCCCAGCACCCCTGAGCTTCCTGCATTAGTTATGAATGAAAAAAATGGCTTGCGCCCCAGACCTCTCTTTACAAATTAAGCACTGGCTAGAATACCCACTTGTGGTGGCAAGGAGAGGCTGCAACATCCAGTCCAGTCCACAAAGTCCAATAGTGAAAAGGGAGGTCTGTAGGGTTGTGGTGGATTTAATACTCCTTACCCAACTTCCTCTCTCTTGATTCTCTCTGTAACCCTCACCTGTAGACTACTCCATTCCTGGCCATTTTTGGGGGGGTGGGGTGGGAAGAGGTGAATTTCACCCTAAATCCCTCCCTTCCGCACCTCTGCTGCATCAAACTGTATTTAAAAAACAGTTGGATATTTATCATTTCAAAATTTTTGCATCTAAGTTTGCCATTTGTTACTGTGTGCACATATAACACTTGATTCAACACAAGTAACTCCCACACACAGCTGTTGATCTATAACAGCGTTCAAAAACCAGGAAAAATAAAAAGCCAAAAAGGAATTCCAACTGCCGGAAGTACCTTAATGCATTTGCATCTGTATGAAGGAAACACTTTCATAAAGACAGGTTTCAGAGTAGCAGCCGTGTTAGTCTGTATCCGTAAAAAGAACAGGAGTACTTGTGGCACCTTAGAGACTAACAAATTTATTAGAGCATAAGCTTTCGTGGACTACAGCCCACTTCTTCGGATGCATACGCTGTAGTCCACGAAAGCTTATGCTCTAATAAATTTGTTAGTCTCTAAGGTGCCACAAGTACTCCTGTTCTTTTTACTTTCATAAAGCAAAGTCAGTCTGCCAACCAAGTGCTCTGGGCATGTGTGGCGCTCTCAAAAGTTACTGCAATTATTAGGATGAACCACCCCAAAAATAACACTTCCTATTCACACTCTAAACCAGCCTCAGTTACATAAAGGCTATGTACAAAAATTGTAAATTTCTACTCAATGTTTTGGGCCGAAACTTTCCACTGCTTGATCTCATATGAAAGACAAATGTGTTTCTGGAATGAGCAAAATCCTCTCCACTTTCAGTTTGCTGAACACAAAAAAAAATTATTTTAAAAACAAATTCTTCTGCATAAAAACCTCACAAAGAGCTGAGTTTTTGAAGGTGGAACTTTCCCAAGCTGCTAGTAAATACAGGAAGATTCTATGGGTTCTCAAATACAGAGCAGCTACTGCTTCTCCATGGGCTTATTTATAAAAGTATATACTTTTTTATCCATGTTAGCTAAAACATTTCAGCCAACACGTTTTAAAAATACTTTTAATCCTAGTCCAGATGAGCTCCATTATGCAACTACGGTACTAGAATCAGAGTTTAGTTGGAGTGGTTTGGTGCTGCTATTTCATTGCAGAGTTCCACAGCTGTGCACACTTGAATTTTCCACAACTGGAACAAGGAGCTAACATTTTAATCTTCCCCCTTCAAGAGGGAGAGATTTTAATAAGATTACCAGTACTGCAGCTCCTTATTAGGCTTTACTTTAACTCTCTTGCATTCAGCCTTCAAATGTTCTTAAGTACTAGTAACTGCAACACCACAGGGAAGCAAAGAGACTGTTTCACTCATATGACAACTACCAGGGAAATTCAATGCAGTAACTCATTTTGTAGTTACATTTTCAACCCAAAAGATAACTGAAGAGCTCCCCTTCCTTAAGAACCCAGACTCAGCCACGTTAAACATACTAAATTCTCTTCTCAGATTCATAAATTAAAGTCACATTAATTTGAAAAGGGAGTTATGCACATGGGGGGAGCAGAATTTAGCCAATTTGTGTGGGTGTGAGGGGGGAAATGTTCATAGCAGATTGTAAAACAAATAGTATGTGCAACATG